GGTGGGCCTGGGAAAAAAATTAAGTTGGAAGAAATGTTCTATGTTCTTTTCTATTATGTTCAAAAAGTTGAAGGTTAATAGCAAAGTTTCCAGTTTGTTTTACTGGCTTTAAGGCTCTGCTGTGTATTTATTTGCCTTGTGTAGTCACTTGTCGCCTTAAGGGCTGGGTTCCATTCAAAAAAAAAAAAAAAAAAAAAAAAAAAAAAAAAAAGAAAAAAATGAGTAAAACACCCTGTTTTGCTTCCCTGGGGGCTGTGCTGTGCCTCTGCCCCAGATCCATGCTCGGGGCTGAGCAGCACTCCCTGCTGAGGCTGACCCTGCACCTCTAGAAAGGTCTGAGTCGTGCTCAATATTTGGCCTCTCATCCTGCCCTAGTCCAGTCTGTCATCTAAATAGCAAAAGAAATGCTGAGAGAAACACGGTTCAAGCAATGGGTGGGTTGGTTTTTTCCTGATGCTCATCCCTGTGGCTTTGCCTCGCTGGTGGGACCCATCGAAACACCCTCAGCAGCACCTTCTCTGCTGTATTTCTGACCATACTCTGTTCCAGTGTCTGTCTGTCTGTCTCCATGAGCTCCACAGCGTGTGCTCAGTGCTAAGCAGTCAGGAATTCCTCTCTCTCAGCTCCTGTAGCTCCGGCTCCCCAGGATTTCTGGGATAACTATTGCCTAGAGCCAGGCAGGACCGTGGAAGGAACTTCCTCGCGCTGTCGTGTAACTCGCCCTGTACTGTCTGCAGTCCTCCCCAAGTCCTCACACAATTCTTAACTGAGCACTTATTAAAAATATCTTAAGATTTAATCTGTTTTCTGATTATTTTTGTGTAAACTTATAAAAAAAAAAGTTTAAAAAACCCCACACCAAACCTGAAATTGAGCTGTGACTAATTTAGCACATGGAAATAACTGTACGGTGTTACTGATAAGTCTCATGTTTTCTTTTGGTTTTGTTTGACTGAAGAGTATTAGTACTGTAGCATAAACCAAATAGAGCCCAGGAAGGGGTGCAGCAGCCTCGTGGCCTGGGTCTGCACCCAAGGGTGTCTGAGTGGGGACAGGAACCAGCAGCGTGTGAGATCAGACGTGACAGGAGAGTGAGGTGTATTTATTTGTGCCATTGTTTTTCTTACAGTGGGTTTTGAAACCCCTTAAATACATGTAGTATCAGAAAGTGGCACTAAGGGTGAGATAATGACCTATTTTTTATTAGCTGTGAAGATACTAATTCAGGTTAAAGTTTCTCTCCTGTTTCTGTTCCCGGTGTGGGTCCGGTGAGTCCTTTTGCTCCGGTTCCCTTGCTGTCTGTTTATTGGAGTGAGGATTCCTGTGTGGGCAGGGGCTGTCTCCTTTCTCTTCTGGTTGTTCCCCTCTGCTCTTCCTCTGCCAGCATGTTCTTTTGGGTGTCTCTTGTACAGGGTCTTGTGTAACTGGAGTGTGTACTGCCAGCCAGATCCAGCTCGGGATCTGCTTGCTCTTTGGTGGATCAGGAAGCATCTCATCCTGTCCAAGAGGTGATTTAAAAACTCCTCTGTGTTCCTGGTGATGGTGATTTGGGGCCTTCAGCCTTTGCTCCCTCCCATTCCACCCATCTGGTGGATTGGCAGTGGCTTTCAGGCTTTGCTTGGAGTTTGGTTTTGGTTTAAACCCACCTCAATCCTCTGTGAAATCTGTTAGAAATCTCTTGTCTCTTTGACCAGTTGGTAGCTCCAGGGCATGGATTCTGTTACTAACCTGCTTCAAACCTTTCAGAACCAGTAAATCCCACTCTTTGCCTTTCGTAGCTGCTGTGAACTTCTTTGCAATGTGGAAAGAAAACCCAATTCTCATTAGGTTGCAAGTCCACCAGCTGTTTGGTGGCTGGGAGCAGTGATGAGTGAACCAGCCAGCTAAATGAAAAGGAAAATCTCTTCCTGCTAGGAAAAAAAAAAGAGAGTTGTCCTCCCAGCTGTGTGTGTAATTAGTGCTTTCACCTTTAAGGGAGTGTTGCTGTGGCACCACAGCATCCTTTTCCAAGTGGCCAGTGGGTGACCTCAGGGACATCTGGGAGCGATGGCATTCACAGCCATGTTTCAGAACTGCTGGTAGTTTTCCTGTGTGTTTAGGTTTTGATCTTGATTCAGCATTTGCTATGGTGTCCCCTCTCATCCCTAGAAGATTGTTATGTCTGTCCATCCGTTAGTACTTGTTTTCCTTGAAGAGGCTGTTTACAAGGGAAATGGTTGAGGTCGGGAGGGGAGACAACAAGGATTCACCCCATTTAAAGCTGCTACACATTTTCCACAGCAGTGCAGAAGGCAGGAGAAGGACAGGTGTGGTGAAGGAGCCAAAAAAAGCCAGAGTAATTCTAGCTGTGGCCACCGCCAGAGCATTTTTCCATGCAGAAAAGCCCTACTGAAAGCAGTTAGGAAGCAGGAACCTGGGCCTGGTGCAAGGAGGAGATCTCAGTGTGTGCTGCCTCCCAGGGATTACAGAGCTTTAGAGGTTTGCCCAGTGTCTGTTACACCCCGGGATCAGGCTGGCTGCCTCTGTCCTGCCCGTGATCCTCAAAAGTGGCATTGCTCAGCAGCAGGACAGAGGGGCCAGGGATGTCTGGGGAGGTACCAGAGCCCTGTGAGGACCTTGTGTCAGTGGCATGAGACCCTCAGCAGTGCCCTGCCAGGGCTGCTGCCTGTCCTGGGACAGAAGCAAGAGTCCTGTGCTCTCACCAGGGGATGCTGAGCTGGATTTATCTTGACTGTTAATCAGAAAGCTTCGTATAACATGTCCAGAGCTCTAAAGCCATTTTGTAAGATAGCAGTGTCCCTTTTCTACAGCCTTATTAACGAGTAGAGTGTCTTTCAAAAGAACAAAACAGCAGAAAAAAAAATAGCTCGTTTCTTTCTGTGGTATGAAACTTGTGTACTGCAAACTTCTGAACGTTTAGCAAGAACACAACTTACAGTTTTCTTAAAAATTAACAAAAAAAAAGACAAAAAAATAACCTGTTCTGCTTTCCATATGGTCTTTCCTCAGGTGCTAAATAAGGGTTCCAAAAATGGATACTGCTTTAGGAGTTTCTGCTTTATTCTGAAAATACATATTTTTTTGCTTAGGTGTTGTAAAGATATTTTAACAAGAATGTGGTTTTTTTAATGTAAATAAGATCGTGTCTTTAATTTTTTTTTGTTTTATCTCCTTTTTGTCTATATTGAATAGTCTAATTTTCATTGTTATCCTTTTGAGAAGGACCCTCTTTACACCCTTCCCCGAAGACATTTCATTAAGTGTTGCTGCATTTAAGAATGAACCTACAACTGTTTCATTGTCTTGGATTAATGCTGCTGCTGCTATAAGTAACCCTGAAAATCAAGAATGTGTGATGCACTTTTGTTTTTGGTTGGGTTTATTTTTGGTTTGTGTATTTTTTTTTTTGTTTTTTTAACATGACCATGTAGTTCCTCTGCGGATAGTCGACCCCTCCTGTAACACAGCCACTAACTGGGGGAGCTGAGGTGTAGGATGGGGTGTAGGACAGGGTGTACCTGATCTTGGTGC